ACATTCATGTCGAGATTTCTCATGAGTCTAGAGAGAGAAGAGCATTCAGAGCGTCAATCAAACCGCGGCTGATGCCCGCAGGATCAAACTTTCTAACAAAACGAGAAACTGAAAAGCTGTTGTTGATAATTAGCTGTTCCTAGATCACCAGATTCATTCACCTGTGCAGGTGATCCGCAGCAGACGCCAGCGCACCTTGAGTCCGAGGGGAACACTTCCACAGTAATCTGTGCGGGTGAGGAAGTTCAGACGCGCTCCGAGCGGAGCTCTGCTTACAGGAGCTGTTCCGTCTACAGTGAAGAGACCTTCATTCATATGATGAGCTAATCCTTATTATAGCATCATTTCACAGACTCTAAAAACCGCTCTCCATCATGCCCAGAGCTTCAGCCATTAGTTAGCAGAAGAGCTGAGTTGTGTGATTAGCTGGCTGGTCTGTGTTGATACGCACATGTTTTTCAGCAGGTGTTCAGTGCACTGCACCAGAACGATGCCCTCGAACGGCGAGTGCTCACACACAACCCCACAAACACCGTCTGCACCGATCACAAACTGAAACAACACACAAACACTTCTGTGACACTCATTTCTCCTCAGTCAGATGGATGTTCACTCAGCTTTTGAACATGATGTGTGCCATTCCTGCACTGAACAGAATTACTAAACAAGCCAACGTTTCCCAAATACTCCTGCTGGCCGTTCCTTCAAACAGACTTGCGTCATTGATTCACAGAGTTTCGCTCTCCAGTGACTCTGAACATTAAACACATCAGAACATGTTTGAACATCTGAAGCACGGCAGCATTCGAATGCTTTCATTTATTGAGCATCTGTGTCTTACCTGCAGGGGTTTGTCGTACCAGCGGTTTGCTCCGTTTTTATCATGTCCTCCTCCGTGCAGCATCAGGGCAGCTCTGTTGGCGTCGCTGGGTTCGAGTCCCGCGGGATCATCCAGACAGACGACACACACGCAGCGCTCCATCAGCTCCACAGACTCTCTGTTCACTGGATCTGCTTCACAGATTGATCACAAATTAAAATACATCTCTGTCACGCACAGGATCGAGGGAAATGTGATTTCACTTCTGGATAACTGTGAAATTCGGCACTGAGCAATGAAAGTAACCTGAGTGTTTAATCAGTCTGTGTCTCTAGCTATTAGCACCGTGTCCATGTAGTGTTGTTTGGACCTTTGAGCAGCTGGTCTCTGGCTCGGGCCCAGTCCGTCCGGTCCTCTGCGGTCAGCAGTCCCACGGCCGGCTGCTTCTGCTCAGCGCTCAGCGTCTGCTCATAGATCCACTCCAGCTGAGCCTGAACATCCGCCTCATTCAGTTTACAGCTTCCTTCCATCAGATTCAGCACAAAGAACTGAGAACGTGAACCAGACGCATGTCTTTAGTGAACAGAAGGACCGTGACATTCATTGAGCTTTTAGTGAGATAAGAAATCAGCTCCTGAATGCATGTCGTGTAACATTTACATTTATTCATTTAGCAGACATGTTTATCCAAAGCGACTGGAGGAATGAGGAACACAACAAGCAATTCATCTTAAGGAGGCAATAAACACAAGAAGTTCCACTAATGCAAAGTTTCAGACATCGTTCAGAATAGAACAAGCTAGAACAGGGAAGGATCAGGGGATAGTGAAAGTGAAAGTTTTTTTTTTTTTAAAAAGACATGAGTAGTATGATTTTTTATTGGATCTAATATTGGCTAACTAGCAGTGTCTGATTGTTTGTCCCGTGAGTTTTGTGCACAGCAGCTGGTTTAGTGCAGCCGGATCTCAAACAGTGCCGGTGTCAGCGGCTCCACTTCTCTGATGGGGTTATTGAGTTATCAGACCGGACCTTGTTAGAGACGCTTCCTGAGCCATCTCCAGGTAAACGACCCTCTAGACCGCAGCGCACGGTTGGCCCAGCGTGACGTCTGCAGGCGAGAGGCGCTGTGAAGGGCACCTGTTGATGGACCTGCAGTTAATTTAAGAGCCTCTCAAGCCTTGTTTCGATTAGCTGGATCAGATTAAGGTGACCGCAGATATTCTTCAGCACTCATCCTCCATTCAGCTGGACTGTAATGTGTGATTCTGGTGGAATCAGTGCTAAATGTGGCCTTTTCTCGGCTGTCATTAATCACAGACTGACCATTTCACCAAACAAACGCAACAGACTAATTCAGCAGCACTACTGGTGTAACACAAAGGGAAAGCACACACCTGATTTTTACAGGCCACAATGACGTGTCCCGTGTCAGACGCGCTGTCCGCTGTGATGAGTGTGTCCTGCTCGAGTCCGGCCCGTCTGTAAGTGCTGAAGAGACGCTTGTACTGATCCATACAGAGCGGTATGTCAGCCTTCTGACCACGAGCGACGTCCACCAGCAGAGTCTTCCTACAGCACACACACACACACACACACACACACACACACACACACACACACTCACACACACACACACACACACACACGGCGCTCATGTGTTACTGACACAGACTAAATTCGATCAGCTGAAGTAGATGAAGGACACTGATTTACCCGTCCACCGCCGCCTTGTATTGAGAAACACTTAGAATGAGACGAGCAGCAAACCTGGACAAACACAAGAGACAAACACCGATTTAACCTTTAATTCGGTCAAAGAGTCAAACAGAGATGGAGACATCTTCCAGACGCCCTTCACTCTGAGACTTGTTAGAAAACCTCATTCAAGACTACCAGAGACCCCTGCAGACGTTGGTCAGATCTTACAGAGCAAGTCCGGCTCTATGCTGTCATGAAGTCAGCATTTGGCAAATAAGGTCTGCTTGGTGGTGGAGATTTCAAACACACACATTTCCTTTTGTATTTGTCATGTTGAGCACTCACATACTTAAGTGTGTAGAGAGCCACTAATATTACTTTGTCAAACATACTGTAGTCATCACTATGCTGAGCACAGAGAGTGATTCTGGTGCACTGTAGACACACACAGAGATGGAGGAGATGCTGCCGCATGATCTTCATTGACGTTATGTGTGCATTAATTAATTAGTTCTCTTTATTTACTCACACCAGAGACTCTTTAATGTCTCTGAAGGATTGTTTGGGGAAAACCAGCGCTGGACTGGAGTTCACGGGAAGCGCCAGTCTGTTCTTCAGATACATGTCTTCCAGCCAGAAGTCGAACACCTGAGACAAACACAGCAGAACCATCAGCTCATCATTTCCTGAGCTCTAATTAAACTCGTTCAAGGTGAGAAGCTACACTGCCTTTGAAAGAGAAAAAAGGACAAAGACACAATAAAATATTATTTGAGTAAAGTGCTATTATATATCAAGTGCTGCTGTCACATTAAAAGCTGTGATGTTTCCTGGCAGACGGATCAATAGCCACAGATCAGTTACTCATTATTTTTCTTCATCTGTTTTAATGGGACTTTAATAATAAATCGGTGCGTCCGGAGGTGCACACTGGGTTCAGTATGTTAACAGATCGTGTTGTGTCTCCTGCTCTCTGCGACTGATGTTCTGAACGGCTGCCGTTCCTGTAATAGTTCAGGGTTGAAGCTCTGTAAGACGGGTTTGTAGTGTGTTTGTACCCAGTTTTCGGTCTTTTCTCTTTTCTCTAGCAGCAGTTTTTGCAGCCTTTCTCCAACACCTCCGTGTTTGCCGAATGTCTCCACTATAGCTTTGGTTTTTTGGAACTGCTTTTCAGAAACAAGGTGTTTGACAGATCTTAGGTAGGCGTCCAGTGTGTGCTGCAGGTCCGGCACAGGGAGTTTGAGCAGCATCTGGAGAAGAGAGGAAGAATTAATGTTTTTCAACACGGTCCCACAAACAGATATATAGACAGACAGACAGACAGACAGACAGACACACAGATAGACAGACAGACAGATCGATAAATAGATATATAGATAGACAGACAGACAGACAGACAGACCGATAGATAGATAGACAGACAGACAGACAGACAGACCGATAGATAGATAGACAGACAGACAGACAGACAGATATATATAGATAGACAGACGACAGACAGACACACAGACAGACAGACAGACAGATAGATTGACAGACAGACAGACAGACAGACAGACAGACACAGACAGTAGATAGATAGATAGATAGATAGATAGATAGATAGATAGATAGATAGATAGATAGATAGATAGATAGATAGATAGATAGATAGGCTCTCTGGCGGTTCTGCCCTCCGGAGGAACATTAATGAGTGAGTAACTGTTGAGCGTCTCTCTGATGTTTTGTGTTATCAGCTCTTGCTTTAATAATTTATAGGAATAGCTTTAAGACAAATGGAGAGGAAATTTTAAAAGCTGCTGGTCAGGGAACACTATTTTGATTAACAAAATGCAAATGGTGCACCAATATGGTTCAGAAACACAGTATCTCTCAAAGTATTGTTCAGTTCTATTAAGAAAAGCATCTGAGATTTTCAAGCTTTAGATTGACCTCTTTTAAAATAGTAGAAATGGTATATTTTGTTATATTTTGTTCATACATCCGGTAAATAATACATGTATGAAATTTGTTTTGTATCAGAAGGAAAATCAGCGGCAGTAAAATCAGATGTGTGCCTGTGATTCTTTCAGATCTTTAGACAAGAGCTAAGCTTTTCTCCTCTGAAGATGAGGCTCTTATATTTGCCCAGGGACAGATAGATAGATAGACAGACAGATAGATAGATAGATAGATAGATAGATAGATAGATATAGATATGTAGATATATAGATAGACAGACAGACAGACAGATAGACAGATATATATATATATATATAGACAGACAGACAGATAGATAGATAGATATATAGACAGACAGACAGACAGACAGACAGACAGACAGATAGATAGATAGATAGATAGATAGATAGATAGATAGATAGATAGATAGATAGATAGATAGATAGATAGATAGATAGATAGATAGATAGGCTCTCTGGCGGTTCTGCCCTCCGGAGGAACATTAATGAGTGAGTAACTGTTGAGCGTCTCTCTGATGTTTTGTGTTATCAGCTCTTGCTTTAATAATTTATAGGAATAGCTTTAAGACAAATGGAGAGGAAATTTTAAAAGCTGCTGGTCAGGGAACACTATTTTGATTAACAAAATGCAAATGGTGCACCAATATGGTTCAGAAACACAGTATCTCTCAAAGTATTGTTCAGTTCTATTAAGAAAAGCATCTGAGATTTTCAAGCTTTAGATTGACCTCTTTTAAAATAGTAGAAAGGGTATATTTTGTTATATTTTGTTCATACATCCGGTAAATAATACATGTATGAAATTTGTTTTGTATCAGAAGGAAAATCAGCGGCAGTAAAATCAGATGTGTGCCTGCGATTCTTTCAGATCTTTAGACAAGAGCTAAGCTTTTCTCCTCTGAAGATGAGGCTCTTATATTTGCCCAGTCATGATGTTCCATCAAGACTAGCTCGGCACATCTGTAGGGTAAGAACACTTAATTTGTCTTTTTGGTAACAACAGCAACAATCATAGCAAACTGAATCCACATGTATTTGCTTACATTGCAGTGGCTGTGGGCTTCGGCTGTTTCTCTCTTCAGGACGGGCATCACTGAGTCTGTCTGCAGTCACTGAAGAGATGTTTGATTCCTCAACACTGCAAACTCTGTCCTGTGGAGACTGTCTAGCACCTCTTAACAGAAACATTATTACATCTGAACTATATCAGGAATAACCAAATGCAACATTCCCGTGAAATGCATTCATGTCTGTTACAGATAACAGCGATTGTTTTAGTGAGATGGGTGGACCTGAAGGCTTGCTTAAAGTTCATTAGAAGTGGGAGTAATTATAGAGTTCTGCCCAATTTAATTTCCATTAATTTGAATTGATTGGTCAGTAAAATTGATATGACAACAATATGAAAATAGACGCTAATAGGCTTTATGTGTTTCTATAGTCGCTGCAGACAGTGATGCTCCTAACCTGATGTTTCACAATAAATCCGTGACATTGAGCTACAGCTACAGTCTAGCTTCAACACACATGCAGATCTGAAAAAAGAAATCTGAAACATCACTTTCTTAAAAAAATAAAAGAATAAAAAATAGGATAAGCAATAGCAGCTTGAATCAGGTACAGTGACAGAACTACAAAAATATTGTTTAAAAAAACTGTAAAATACAAGTCACTAGAGAAATTAATTCAAATAAAAATTCTTCCCTAATGAAGTTCTGTAAGTTCAGCAGAATATTTTGTTCATACATCCGGTAAATAATACATGTATGAAATTTGTTTTGTATCAGAAGGAAAATCAGCGGCAGTAAAATCAGATGTGTGCCTGTGATTCTTTCAGATCTTTAGACAAGAGCTAAGCTTTTCTCCTCTGAAGATGAGGCTCTTATATTTGCCCAGGCATGATGTTCCATCAAGACTAGCTCGGCACATCTGTAGGGTAAGAACACTTAATTTGTCTTTTTGGTAACAACAGCAACAATCATAGCAAACTGAATCCACATGTATTTGCTTACATTGCAGTGGCTGTGGGCTTCGGCTGTTTCTCTCTTCAGGACGGGCATCACTGAGTCTGTCTGTAGCCACTGAAGAGATGTTTGATTCCTCAACACTGCAAACTCTGTCCTGTGGAGACTGTCTAGCACCTCTTAACACAAACATTATTACATCTGAACTTTATCAGGAATAACCAAATGCAACATTCCCGTGAAATGCATTCATGTCTGTTACAGTTCTGCCCAGTTTAATTTCCATTAATTTGAATTGATTGGTCAGTAAAATTGATATGACAACAATATGAAAATAGACGCTAATAGGCTTTATGTGTTTCTATAGTCGCTGCAGACAGTGATGCTCCTAACCTGATGTTTCACAATAAATCCGTGACATTGAGCTACAGCTACAGTCTAGCTTCAACACACATGCAGATCTGAAAAAAGAAATCCGAAACATCACTTTCTTAAAAAAATAAAAGAATAAAAAATAGGATAAGCAATAGCAGCTTGAATCAGGTACAGTGACAGAACTACAAAAATATTGTTTAAAAAACTGTAAAATACAAGTCACTAGAGAAATGAACAGCGATTGTTTTAGTGAGATGGGTGGACCTGAAGGCTTGCTTAAAGTTCATTAGAAGTGGGAGTAATTATAGAGTTCTGCCCAATTTAATTTCCATTAATTTGAATTGATTGGTCAGTAAAATTGATATGACAACAATATGAAAATAGACGCTAATAGGCTTTATGTGTTTCTATAGTCGCTGCAGACAGTGATGCTCCTAACCTGATGTTTCACAATAAATCCGTGACATTGAGCTACAGCTACAGTCTAGCTTCAACACACATGCAGATCTGAAAAAAGAAATCTGAAACATCACTTTCTTAAAAAAATAAAAGAATAAAAAATAGGATAAGCAATAGCAGCTTGAATCAGGTACAGTGACAGAACTACAAAAATATTGTTTAAAAAAACTGTAAAATACAAGTCACTAGAGAAATTAATTCAAATAAAAATTCTTCCCTAATGAAGTTCTGTAAGTTCAGCAGAATGAGCTGAGGAGGAGCAGAGAGCCGCTCACCTGTTTGATCGGTGCGTCCGTCCCGCGTCTGTCTCTGCAGCGGAGCGTCCTCGGTCTTCAGCGGCGGTCAGTGTCCGTGACTCCGCCCCCGCCCCCGCGCCCGGTCCCGGTCCCCGCGCTCCGGCTCCTGCAGCTGTTTCCAGAGGTGCTGCTGCTCTGTCTTGCGTTACAACTACTTATCATTTACTGTACACAAAATGTTTATGCTATTTATAATATGTATAGCTACATTTCTTTAAAAACAAATCTGGTTTGTATGCAATTAGCACACAGAAATACTTAATAATTATTAATACTTTATTAATTAAATAGTTAATGAGGTTAATTTTTATCATGTGAAATGCTGAACAGTGAATCGTTTAATATTTTTCGTTATTAACGCTGATAATTCAGTTACAAAATGTCCTTTTTATTTTATAGCTGTCACTAAGTAAATTGTCTTTTCTATATTCTTATATTTGTTCCCAGGTTAACCGGTCCAGATTATATATTTCGTTTCCATTCAAATTATTGAAACTAACACGAATCCAGACGGACTCAAAATTCCTCGGCTGTCGTTCACAGATCCTTCTTAGGACTTTTGAGAATTTAAATAAATATAAAAAACGACACATTCATTCGTTCCCATATTTATTAGTAGTGATTCAGTCAATAAAAAGGCACATGTATGAAAATTTGAGCACTGGTTTTATTGGGGTTTTGTGCAGTTACATCACGCAGCTACGCACTCCATCTACTCACATCTACACACTATAGGAATGTCGCTCAGAGCCAAATGTTACAGTTTCTATCTAAATCATAAAAGACACACTTCTCTGAGTGAGTGAGGGAATAAATATTGCACATCAGATGCTGAATGTTTGCGATATAATCTCTGGGTCACTAAAATGAATGCGTCATGTCTTCGGGTTAAGTGAACTCGGGTCCCGACGATTCCTCCTCCGAGTAAGATTTGGACCGCTCGAAGAGCCCGTCCTCGTCCACGGGACACGCGCTAGTCGTCGTGGCGCACAAGCCCTTGCGCTTGAGTCTGCGCTCCTCCATGCGGATGGTGTCGTACAGTCCCGTCGGCCCTTCCTCCAGCAGCACGTTTCTCTCCGACTGGGACGGCTTCATCTGGCACACGTACCGGAGCAGCAGCAAAGCCGGCGCGTAAAGCACATTCACCAGACCCATGCCAAGGTTCAGCTGAACGAAACCCAGGTTGTGTACGACCTGACCTGCTACTACGGGTCCCATAGCGTAGGCGACCGAGTACGAGATGTCTGCGATGGCATAGACGCTTCCATAGACGGACACATGACGCACGTCCACCAGGAAGGCCAGAGTGGGCAGGAGCGCCGTGTCCACCAGAGCGATGCCGAAGCAGATTCCGCACAGGGGAAACACCAGCTGGCCGAAGGTTTTGCAAGCAGGCACAGTGCAGGAGCTGGCCCCTATTATGACCATACCGAGCGCGCCATAGAACCACTGCAGGTCCGGGTACTTGGCGGCTAAGCGGACAGTGACGTAAACCCCCAACACGTGCGGGAAGAAGGCAGGCAGCCAGATGAGACCCATCTCCCACTTTGTGGCGTTCATCGTGTTCTCCATCCAGTTGGCGATGGTGGGCTCGAGGAACGCCAGCGGGATGTTACAGACGGTCAGAGCGCCCGCCACCACGGCGATGTACGGGTCGATCATGAGCCGGTAAATGGGCGTCCCGACCGGCATGTTCTCGCGCGTCCTGTTAGAAAAAGGTTTGATCACAGTCAAGAGCAAAATGCCGTCTGCCAAGCACACAGAGGCCAGAACTATGAACGGGACCCGTTTACCTGCGAATTCATACAGGATACCGCCGAACGGAGGCGCCACGAGGCTCCCGAACGAGATGAACGCGAGTGCGATGCCAAGCGCGCGGCTCCTCTCCGCTTCTTCCGTGTATTTATCCGCGATCATCGCGATCCCAGACGTGTCGGCAAACGCCGAGCCCAGACCCTGCAGGCTGCGCGCCGCGAACAGGGTCCCGTAGTTGTCAGCAAAAGCAAATATACAGGTCGAAACAAACATGACCAGAAGTCCGATCAGCAGCGGGATGTCGTATCCAACGCGGTCAATGAAAGTTCCCGATAAGGGGCTGACCATGAGTTGCAGAATGGCCTTGGATGCGAATAACACCCCTATCTGTATGTCCAGGTTGTCCCTGTTTGCTCTGCCCAGCGAAGAGTTGTCATGGGCGCGCGCCGCCTGCTCGGTCTCTAAATCTGCGAGATAATCGGGAATGATCGGAACTATCACCATGTAGAGCATGTTGTCAAGCAGAAGCGCGACGCAGACGATCACCAGAATGAGCCTTCTCTTGCGTTTGGGGTCTTGCATCGCGCTGCCAAGCTGTTTAGTTCTTTCGCCCATTTCGGACAACTTTAGGGCGGCTGATCTCGCCAGCCCTGTTGAGCCGTCAGCTTCCATGACTGTTTACCTCAAGAGAGCCGTTCTTCAGAATGTAATGTCATTCCGTTCCTGTGCAGCGACGCGTCTGGCTTTTACGCACGAACCTGCTTGGTGTCCAGCGCGCGCGCTCGGTTCGCTGTGGTCAGGCGCCTCTGATAGGTGACGTGCTAGTCTTTTCTCTTCCCGGGGACAGTCCTGAGCTTTCCTTTCTGCATTACCACCTCTGCTGAGCTTTTTTTTTGCATTTACATTCCTGTTACGCACGCATGAGTTTGCGCTTTCTCGTCTGTCAGCTGTGGTCATTCACATCAGTTTTTCCTTTCCGTCAGAAACTGCAGACTTGCTGTGGGCACAAACTAAGAGGTGTGCCAATATCAGTTTCCTCTGATTTCTCTCCTTTGGTCTTTGGCGCGTTCGCTCTGTTCATCAGCCAGCTGCGTCCGTCTGCTAATTATAAAAACGGACGAATCTGACCAATCAGGGTCATGATCACATGACAAAAAATACTAGTGGTCGGACGAACCGTAACTGACCCCAGACCAGCTCTACTCGCGCTCTTAGTGTGTTTGGAGACTGGCGCTGTCTCCATGCACTCAGCGGTTTCTTGTTGTGTTTGAAAACACACACAGCGCAGTACCATGCAGTGTCAATACAATGTTTTGATAAGTGCTATAGAGTTTGCTATGTATGAATGTATTTCTGTGAAGGTTAAATTATTCACCGTGTTGGCCATTATTAAGGGCCATTATTGAAAGAACGAAAAAATCTAATCATCAACTAATATTTAAATACTTGATTTCACAAAATAACGACAGTACAATAACGTGATATCACCTTTTGGAAAGCATTTGGGAAAATATTAAAACAAGCCACGGTTATCTACTGTTCTCTGTCTTCAGATTAGTATACAAGTGTTAAACTGCAAATGGAAAACAATTTTTTTGTTATTTATGTTCGTCCCGTTCTCTTTAAATAGAAATTAAATAGGCGATAAACAAACTTTTAACTCCGGGCATCACTGTTTTATATAACGCGCGCGTCTGACGCGAGGCGTTGCGCTCACCAGCGGCGCGACACTGACCTCTGCTGGACTGATCAGAGAGGAGCTGATACTGACGCATCACTCTTTATGTGGACTACACTGATAAGCATAACTAACTAATGGCAATTGAAAGTTCTTCATAACGGTGTTGAGTTAACATCGACACACACACACCCAATGATAATACTGATCTACAAGTATATAAGGTTAAGAACTGATATTTGATTGTTGAATTAGAGTTAAATTAACTCTTTCTCTTTCTTATTACATGCTGCCTGATGGCGGTTTAAAGAAGCTGCTGCAGTCCTCAGAAATAAAAACTGCTTGAACTGCTGCTGGACTGATCAGAGAGGAGCTGATACTGACGCATCACTCTTTATGTGGACTACACTGATAAGCATAACTAACTAATGGCAATTGAGAGTTCTTCATAACGGTGTTGAGTTAACATCGACACACACACACCCAATGATAATACTGATCTACAAGTATATAAGGTTAAGAACTGATATTTGATTGTTGAATTAGAGTTAAATTAACTCTTTCTCTTTCTTATTTCATGCTGCCTGATGGCGGTTTAAAGAAGCTGCTGCAGTCCTCAGAAATAAAAACGGCTTGAACTGTCTTTCTACGGTGATCTACCTAAATATATAGAGTAGAGTAGTTGAGCACAACATCCAGGCCGGTGCATTGCCTGTTTGGCCGCTAGATGGCGGTTTCTGCCACGAAATAAGCAGATGAATGAAGTCTGATTCACAGATTTGGTTTATGTCAGACAAATGGAGACATAGACAACACAATATAGTACGACATACAGTATACACTGTCTTTATGTATTCAACATAGTGAAAAATATTAATATTGTGAGTTCTTTGTTACAGGTGTGTGTTCAGGTGAATGTGGATTATATGTCTTTATGTTCAGATTAATAATCTCTGCAATAAATGATTAGCTCACTGTGTGTTGCTCACCAGATTACACGTATATCTTCCAAAAATATTTTTCTTTTGGATATCATGATCACATGACAAAAAATACTAGTGGTCGGACGAACCGTAACTGACCCCAGACCAGCTCTACTCGCGCTCTTAGTGTGTTTGGAGACTGGCGCTGTCTCCATGCACTCAGCGGTTTCTTGTTGTGTTTGAAAACACACACAGCGCAGTACCATGCAGTGTCAATACAATGTTTTGATAAGTGCTATAGAGTTTGCTATGTATGAATGTATTTCTGTGAAGGTTAAATTATTCACCGTGTTGGCCATTATTAAGGGCCATTATTGAAAGAACCAAAAAATCTAATCATCAACTAATATTTAAATACTTGATTTCACAAAATAACGACAGTACAATAACGTGATATCACCTTTTGGAAAGCATTTGGGAAAATATTAAAACAAGCCACGGTTATCTACTGTTCTCTGTCTTCAGATTAGTATACAAGTGTTAAACTGCAAATGGAAAACAATTTTTTTGTTATTTATGTTCGTCCCGTTCTCTTTAAATAGAAATTAAATAGGCGATAAACAAACTTTTAACTCCGGGCATCACTGTTTTATATAACGCGCGCGTCTGACGCGAGGCGTTGCGCTCACCAGCGGCGCGACACTGACCTCTGCTGGACTGATCAGAGAGGAGCTGATACTGACGCATCACTCTTTATGTGGACTACACTGATAAGCATAACTAACTAATGGCAATTGAAAGTTCTTCATAACGGTGTTGAGTTAACATCGACACACACACACCCAATGATAATACTGATCTACAAGTATATAAGGTTAAGAACTGATATTTGATTGTTGAATTAGAGTTAAATTAACTCTTTCTCTTTCTTATTACATGCTGCCTGATGGCGGTTTAAAGAAGCTGCTGCAGTCCTCAGAAATAAAAACTGCTTGAACTGCCTTTCTACGGTGATCTACCTAAATATATAGAGTAGAGTAGTTGAGCACAACATCCAGGCCGGTGCATTGCCTGTTTGGCCGCTAGATGGCGGTTTCTGCCACGAAATAAGCAGATGAATGAAGTCTGATTCACAGATTTGGTTTATGTCAGACAAATGGAGACATAGACAACACAATATAGTACGACATACAGTATACACTGTCTTTATGTATTCAACATAGTGAAAAATATTAATATTGTGAGTTCTTTGTTACAGGTGTGTGTTCAGGTGAATGTGGATTATATGTCTTTATGTTCAGATTAATAATCTCTGCAATAAATGATTAGCTCACTGTGTGTTGCTCACCAGATTACACGTATATCTTCCAAAAATATTTTTCTTTTGGATAATAATATTTAGTGGGGTTCACATGTTGTATTTGAGATTAATAAAAGTAAACAGGTTTGGCTCAACAAACAAACTCAGACTGAACTCTGAAATAAAGTGGATGGTGAAAAGATGGAAAATGCCACAGGAGTGATATACATATGGATTATATGTCTATATGTTCAGATTAATAATCTCTGCAATAAATGATTAGCTCACTGTGTGTTGCTCACCAGATTACACGTATATATCTTCCAAAAATATTTTTCTTTTGGATAATAATATTTAGTGGGGTTCACATGTTGTATTTGAGATTAATAAAAGTAAACAGGTTTGGCTCAACAAACAAACTCAGACTGAACTCTGAAATAAAGTGGATGGTGAAAAGCGCTAATATTAGTCTGTTTCTCTCTTATTCCGAGGTCACCGTAGCCACCAGATCCAGTCTGTATCCAGATCAGATGGTCACTGCAGTCACCCGGAGCCAGTACGTGTCCAGACCAGATGGTGGATCAGCACCTAGAGAGGACCTCTACAGCCCTGAAAGACAGCGGAGACCAGGACAACTAGATGAGCCCCAGATACAGATCCCCTGTAAAGACCCAAGACCACAGGAACCAGATGAGTCCTCTGCACAATCTGATTCTGCTGCAGCCTGGAATTAAACCACATCATGCTGGTTTCGTCTGGTCAGAGGAGAACTGGCCCCCGACTGAGCCTGGTTTCTCCTAAAGTTTTTTTCTCCATTTCTGTCACCAATGGAGTTTTGGTTACTTGCTACTTTCGCCTTTGGCTTGCTTAGTTGGGGACACTTAATTTCTGGCAATGTTGTCGAATTGATTGCACAAACACTATTGGAAGACAACCGAACTGAGCTGGACGATGACATTACTGATGATCAATGACTTTGAGTGTTTATTATTGTCCTCTTGCATTATCGACACACTATTTTCCTGCTTAACACTGTAAAGTTGCTTTTGAAAGTGATTTTCAGATCTTTTAACCTATACAGTAAACTGTAAATGGTCTTTTTGTAAAGACAGGTCAAACCAAAACTTTCATTCCCAATAACTAAAACCTTTTGTTGTGTTAAAGCATATGATATGCATTATGTAACATTGACCTAAATAAAACTAACTGGACTCTTTTACAGAGACCACATACACAGATGCTGATTATTTGTCTTACACAACTTGCATTTTCCCTCCACTGATGGAGGTCTTATTTGAACATCAATAAATCATAAGACATTGACCAGATCATTTTATGTGCAATAGGGGAGAGAGTCGCATTAAGAAATCTGAGGCGTAAATCTGCTTTGTGATAGGAAGTGTTTGTCAGGTTTGCTTTGAGAAACTTCAGGGAAAATCTTCAGCATTGGGATCTAATCTAGAGCTTCAAGAGCATGTGAAAGTTGCTCTGGAGTGTTTATGCTCTTCATGTCTATTTAGGAGGCTGTTTCTGAGAGAGGCAAGAAGTTAATCCTGCTTATGTGGTCAACGGTACCTTAGAGACCATATATAGAAACCTGCTGTAACTGCACTGACCCAATGGTGATGTGGAGCAGCGTGTGTGTGTGTGAGTGTGTGTGTGTGTGTGTGAGTGTGTGTGTACATGTTTTTCTATTCTGGTGGGGACTTAAACCTGAATACACACAGACTCATGGGGACTCGTGTCACTGTGGGGACCTAATTGAGGTCCT